TACAGATTGCTAAGATTCCTTGGAATGTGGCCTTGGGTTTGAGTCTATGAATAGTGTTGTGTACAAGTGTTGTTCAGTCATTTAAAAGGAATACACATTGTGGTGGTCGCAAACATACACCTGTAGGATGAACTTGCGAATATACTAAGCCACATGAAGGCCTCACTGTGGTTTGTCAAGATCATCCTGATTCACAAGGACCCATCTTTCCCTCGCCTTAGAGGGAACAGAACCCAAGTCCTGGAAACTGCCTTTAAGACTCCAGATTTGTTTTGGAGAGGGTAAAATAAAAACACCAATGTTGGAGAGGACTATGATGAGTTTTATTTAAAAATTGATTTTTAAATGTGGAATCAGAATAAAGTAATACATGTATAATATAAGCATATATCATTGTTTCTAAATTATCATGTTAAATTTTATAAATATGTATTAGATCTCCTAAAAAGTTGATATCATCAGGAAAAACTCCATTTTTATCCTCTTCCTGGGAAATATTTTCTATTCCCACACTGATATTTTTTCTTAAACTTGGTTTCAGTTTTTATTTTGACACATGTGTTTGTATATTTATTTTTTTAAATCGAGGATTACTTGCATATATCATCTAATCACCTTTATTTAATTCAGTGTAATCATACACACACACACACACACACACACACACGCATGCACGCACACACATTGATCAGGTGTTATTACCATCCTTTTTCTTTATGAGGCAGCAGAAGCACAGAGAAGATACAGAATATGCCCAAGACTCCACAGTGCATTCCCTACTGAATGTTTGTGTCTACTCCAAATTTATATGTTGAAGCCCTAATACCAATGTGATGGCATGAGAAGTGGGGCCATTTGGAGGTAATCATATTTTGATAGGCCAGGGGGGCATGTCTCCCAAGATGAGATTAGTGTTCTCAGAATTTGAAAAAGAGACCAGGGCTCACTTGCTCTCCACCAGGTGAGAATACAGTGAGAAGCAGCCAGATATGAGCAAAAAGGGGGCTCTTTCCAAGAATTCAATCTATCAGTACCTTGACCATGAACTTCCCAACCTCCAAAATGGGGAGAAATAAATGTTTCTTAAACTTAGAATATTTTGTTGTAGCAGCTAAAACTGACTAGGACAGTCAGTGAAAGGACTTTGTGAATATTCAATGAAATAATGTATGCAAAGTGGTCTATGAATATAAACTATTGCATTATCACCTCCATCATCATTACCATTTTTCCTARCCAAATGGCATAGGAGCTATTTTTCACACCTAATTCAATTCCAAAAGAAGCCACTGATATTTCTCCAGCAGAAAGAGGTTATGACTGCTCCAGATGAGTTAYTACCTAGATTTTCAGGTTGTTTGTGGCCATTTTATGGATCTACATAGACCTTTGGCTGCTCTGTAAATGAGTTTTCTGGCCCATCATGAGAT